TTAAAATGTTAATGAGACCATGCGGCCTCCATTCTGTTAGCAGCAGTGGCCCGGTGCAGACATCTCTGTACCCATACAATAAACATCTGGCAACCTTCTAGCAGAATCCACTCCCTTTCTCTCCACCATCGCCAGAAGCTCTCTCTCCTGAGGAAAACGGAGTCCTGACAACAAGCCTGGACTTGCCCCGCTGCACTCTCCAGCAGCCAAGGTATCTCTGGGGTAAAACACCGCAGTGCTGCCTTTGGCCCAGCAGCGAAGGTCAGAACTGGCCCAGGCACCATCTAACTGGTTATATTGGGATTCATATTCCAATACTAGAGGAACTCTAATGAGCAGGGATGTCCATGAAGCTGGAGAGTCCCTGTCTTCTGTCCCTTTTGCTGTCTTTATCTCCTTTGTTTTGCTCTTCTCTGAAATTTCAGATGTCATTACAAAACCACAGATAAAGAAGTTTGAGTTACTAATGAGGGAACGATGTAAAAAGCTATTCCATTTCTCATTTACAGTGATGTAAGCTGAGAGCAGCTCCACTAAATTCAACACTGATCCATCAGAGACCAGAGCTGGTAAGTCAGCATGAGTGGACAAACTGGAATGAGATTCCTTCTTGTGTTCTGGGCTTCTCTCACATAAGCTGGTTTAAGTGAAAGGCAGCAGGTTTCCACATCCACTTCTCTCTGAGCTAAAACTGGGATCAAGAGACAAGAAAGACTAGGGAGATCTGCTAATTTGGTAGAAAGACAGAAAAGTTACAGGATCACAGATGATTTGTAAATGCTTTCCTTTATCCCAAACAGAGAATGAGTTTTCAGTATGAGCAGTTGATACGTGGATGCTGCAATAGCATGATAGTCTGATCTTAATTTGGTATATTTCTGTGCTAAACTGATTTGTAATGCAAACCTGAAGCCAGCTGCTGTGAAAATACACCAGCTAGGGTGGGGAGACTAAATTCTGGGGTTTTTGATCGACAGCAATTTGCATCCCATTTGTGACCAAGAGGTAGGCCTGAGGCCTGACCTGAATGTGGCCCTGCTCTCGGGGGCAATGCTAATATATCTTTTTCACTACAGGGAAAAAGTTACATCTAGGTTGGAGTTTGCTTGACATACTTAAAAATGTGTTTTCATGTGGGCTGAAAACATGAGCTGTGGCCATTGAAATACAAGCTATGGCATGGTGGCTGCTATAGTGCAGTGGCTGTTCATCCTCTCACACTTATTTGTGACTAGCAAACCCAGAAGTTCAGGTCTATTTTCTTAACCCACTAGCTGCAGAACTCCCACTAAACTGAATGGAGTCATTCAGCTGAGTGCCAAGGCATTTCAGTGCTTGAAAGTGAACACCAAAGCGTTTGCATGCATACCTCCTGGTGTGCTGGCTGCTTTAATGGCAGAGCACAGACCTCCTCCATTGCCCCTAAATCATGCCACTTTATTCCCTGGGTCCCCCAAGGATTCCTCTTCCGTGCTCTTTTGTGTGGATGTTCATTCACAATTTAAACATCACAAACTCGGTGACAATATCCTAACTAGGAATAGGCTGTTGGCACATTTCCAGGGTGCAGTATTGCACATAGGTCTGCTCTGATGAAAGAGAAGTCAGCTGGAGAATAGGGGACTCAGTTCTAAAGCTCTAAAGCTGTCCTGAAATTAATGCCTTAGGTGACTTTATATTTTTATTGGGCAATGCTTTATGCAGCTCTGGCTTCTTATGACTCATAATCTTAAAAAATCCATCCCCAACTCCTCTTTTTCTGAGAAGATCTGTATGCATTCAGCCTCAGGCTGCTGAGATGAGTAGCACAGCCTTCCTGGTTTTAGTAGTCTGTATTTCTCTAAAATTCTAAATTTCTCACATTTTCTGTAGGTATAGGGGAAGTTTTTTTCCTGTTCCTATATAAAATACAGAATGTACGTTATGTGATATGTGAGATTTACATTTGAGCTAGTTTATAATTTAAGAGTTCTACTGTCATGAGTGAGAGCACTCAGTGTGCATAGAATTAAGTGCACAAGGCACAAATCTCATCCTGCCTACACATACCCAGGTTTCTCATAATCTCTTTTGATATGCTCTTGTAACTTTCTCTTGTATCTTCTTTTATAGTGTCTCATTAATTAAGAATAAAGACTTATTATCATAAATAAAAAATTCCCACAGTTTCATGGAAGAATTTCTACAGTTTTATGGGATGACAACTGAGCAGCTGCTGAGGTAAAAAAAAAAAAAATCCTATTTCCCACTTATGTACCAGAATTACAATGTGCTGTTTGTTGGAGAAAAAAACTGCAACAAGTAGCAATTCAGCTATTCCAGGAAATTCCTACTTACCCAAAATAAATCCTTCTCAAAATATGGTATACCCATGGCAGACTACTATAAAAAAGTGCATCCAAATACATGAAGGCAAAATTATGATGACAGTTTGTTTTGGTCATTTTCTGAGACCTCTTTTGCTGTCTACAGATTTTCACATTAAAAGGACATTATTTTTAGTAGCTATTCAGTTGCTTGAGCTGTTGATTTTTCCAGGAATGATGTAGTTAACTAACATCAATTGGTTGTACCTATCTTAAACCTCCAAAAGTGCAGACCAGCAAGAGCTGGCCCAATGTATCAAGAAATTAGATTTAGAATTTTTATGTAAAGCAAGGTCAAGCAAACCCTCTTTCACAAAGGTAGAGTGAGTGCAAGTAGGTTTAAGGTAATCTGAAGCTGGTGTAAAGGGGATCTAATTTGCAAAAAAAACCTTTTAAAATCTGTGAATTTTGTTGGTAAATGCAAATGAGCTCCTATATATACTATGGGGAGGAAAAAGGAATGAGAATTAAAGCAAGATGGATTTACCTGCACTGATTAGATGTCAAAACTATCTGGCTAACAGAGGTGGAAAGAGTTCTTGACATACTTGGGATGCACCAGTCAAATTGCTTAATATAATGTTTGCATACATACAGCAGAGCTATACGGGGCTTCTGAAGTCATTTCAGGAGATACAAATTCAGGTGCAAGCTGAGGATGTTTCAAATGGCCAAAAGGCCTTTCAGTTCCCTCAGCAGCACTGCTTTCCAGGGTGAAGAGCAGGAGATTTTTATGCATCAATCGCTGGAGTTAAGGTGCCTGCCAAGGCTCAGTCCAGAGCAGCCATTGCCTCCTGCAGTGGGCTCAGACCTGGGCTGGGCTGAGCACACCCCTGGCAGGGTGCAGGTCCCTTTGCAGGGCACAGGGGAAGCCCAGAAGGAGAAGTGTCTCAAATGCACAATTCCTGGCAAAGCTGGGGTGGGCCTGTGGTGATGAACCAGGTGTGCAAACCAGAGGCTGCCTCCCCCTCTGCCCAGTGCTCTCGGCAGGCAGTGGTGGGGAGCAGGAGGGCAGTGCCCAGCCCAGAGCTGTACCTGACACCAGGAAGGATTCCCTCCAGCGCGGCAGTGACAGGGACCGGACACCGTTGGAGAAGCTCCCGCGGTAACCAGAGTGCCCGGCGACTTTCTGGACCAGAACCTTCCCACCTGAGTTGTCAATTATACCACTGCAAGGAGGAAACAAAGTGTCTGAGGGGAGAAATGCCACAGAAACCTTCAAAACCCTTCTACAGTGCAAGTGGTAGGAAGTGATTCCTGTCACCCTTAAACCAGGGGTGGTGGTGGGGCTGGGATGTCACTACTAAGCCTGCTGCTAAGAAATGTTTGTGCTCCTTCCACATAAAGAAGAGCAGTTTGTTGCAAAGTGCTGTCAGGATCTGTTTGCTCTTCCCACTGATCCGCTGGTCCTCTGTTTAAGCTTGACCTAGTTGCACACAAGGAAAAGCTACTGCCTTCTTTACAATTCCTGCAAGCTTGATTGAATGACTCAAGATACAGGCAGAGGTTCTCAGAGGAGCTTTCAGGACAAACACATGACAGATTGTGTTTTCTTTGACTCTCAGTATATGTTTTCTGCAAAAATCCAAGCACGTTTACTCTAAACCTGGAGTAAACTGGACACAATGTTGTTGGAAACTGTAGGAAACCTGGCAGACTCCAGGTGAGGTGCACATCAAATGGTGCTTAACACACACCGTAACATGTACCTCCAGACAAACAGAAATCCTGCGGTGTTTGCAGCCTGCTCTGGCATCACCAGGACAGCAGGTCAGCTGGGAACCAGCTGCAGCTGCAGGGGAATTGTAGGGCTGGCAGTAATGAGCAGGCAGGAAAATAAGTACTGGGCAGCAAGCAGGATTGAAGAGTATGTTAGAAGTGTATTTTGCTGTGGTAATTGTGAGAAGCTGCTGTTATAATAAATGTATGGAGAAGAAATTCACTGTGTGTGGAATTGCAAGCTAACAAAGACAAACCCAGCTGTCAAAAAAGAAAAAGTGAAGTCCTCGCTGTAACAATACAGCCAGCCAGGCTGCAGGGAGATTGCAGTTGCTACCAGTATTTTTTACCTTCCCTTTGGGACTAATTCTGCATGCCGAGGCAATTCCCACTGTGCACCAGTATACGAGGGGGGGATTTGGGGCTGGAAGGCCTTTCCCGAGCAGCCGTGTCCGCAGCGAGGGCAGAGCTGCAGCCAGGAGATGGCAGAGCTGTGCACACAGCTCCTCAGCCTGGGCAAGGGGGAAATCCCAGAGCCTTACCTATCCCACTTTGCCCGAGATCCAGGCACTTCACAGAACTGGAAGCACAGCAGTAGCTCAAATAACTCCAAACTAAGGCAAGCTGTCAATGAGGCTTTAGAAGTTCTTGCTGCGTTTTTGGCTGGATGCATCCTGCCTGTCCATCCCAGCTCCAGCTGCAATGTGTTTTGGTTGTGCAGTTATTCTCCATTAGAATTTTATGCACATTTTTGCATGGCTAATAAAACTCTGAAAAACTTTTGCTACAAAATTTATGTTACTCACTTCCTTGTGCATTGTCCTTTTATGTAGCAGGAAAGCACATTACTCAGTCTTTGAAGTCAAGGACAATTAAATTCAAACCCAGAGAACCAAACCAATCCCAGAAGTATGTGAGTTATATGTGTTCATCACTGGTAATATGCCTATTTTTTCTGAAGATTTATTAGTTGTAGCAGCTCCATCTCTATCTTCCACTTGAATAATAATAGTACAATAGTAATTTGTTATGCATGAATGAGAGATCTGGAAATCTCAAGACACTTCTCCAAAAGTTGAGAAACTTCTTCAAACACAACTAATTTCTATAGGACTACAGGATTGACAGCACTTTGTAAGAACGGATCCATGCCATCACACATGGAATTTCTCTCAGGTTTTCTACAGCAGCCTGCAATCAAACCTACAAGTGGGAACTGTAAAGAATTTGAAAAGTCAGAATCTCTCTGCACTGAATGACAATTTTGTCAGAGTGCTTCACTCATTTCAATTCACTCACCTGTGAATTGCAGCATTGCAGACACTGGAGAAAGAAGCATAAATGTCTGTGCCATAAACACGGTGTTTTATATCTTGACATCCCGGAGGGCATTTTGCAATGAATTCTGGATTGATTATCTTCCCTGCCTTGACATCACAATCAATCTGTGGTACATCTGTGAGTGCAAAATCTTGGTCAAGTCAGATTGAATGCTTTCATGGCTGAGAGATCTTGTCATGAAACAGTGAGTAAGTGAGTGACAGGGATGCCCTCCTCCCAAGCCGTCATATCAATGGTTTTGGGATACAAGACATCTGTGTCTTCTCCATCTACAACATAATACATAATAACCCCTATGCCAAGGGACGTGGCAGTCACTAAGGACAGAATAAGGAGGCCTGTGGGTATTTCTGACCTTCAGTGTTTGCTTCTCTGAAGGAAATATCTGTTATGACACTTGGCTGGAGAGAGAAAGAAGTGTAGTCTCCCAGCCTGTGGTTAACACGTGGGAAGGAGGGGGTGGGGATGCTTCCCAAGCCTCCCACTGTGCTCGTGTAGCTCCATTCCATCTTTATGCCGGGCTGAAGTCACAGCCCATTATCTTGCCCTTAATTTTTAAAACTTTCTGCTGGGTACAGTTTACTTTGAACAAGGGATTTAAGTGTGTGTTTACAACCTTGCAGCACGCTTGCTTGTCAGCTACATGAGCAAAATAATCTGTGGACAGAACTGCTCTTGCAGCAGAATAGCTGAAAGTTAAACATGCCAGTGCACAGAGATGCACCACTTGTCTCACACCAATCAGCTACATGAGCTTTGTGTTACAGCTGGTCCATTTCACGTATTTGTTTCTCTCTCTCTCTGTGAAAACCTTAGTGCTTGCTTTGATCCTTGTGGTCTGCCTAATGACCTATGAAGACACATTTTAGCAGTGAATTACAAAATTTTCCCTTTATAAATGTTAAGTGGCATACACTTTACTCAGTGATTTGTTTTCAATTAAAGAGTCTTTTAGCTAACATATAATGCCATTGACTCTAGACAATCGTGGAGAGTTACCAGAATATAATCTTACTTTGCACCATTCTTATGCACTGGACATGTCTGTTGTAAAACAGCCAAAAATTCTACTGAGACCACTTACACAGCTTAGCCTTTTTTGTCTTCTTTGTGGCTTCCTTGGCTGTGTATGTACATGTAAGAAACACACCTGGAACAAATAAACATAGTATCAGGAAAAAGATGGACTATCAACATCAGTCACCAGAAGCTCCTCTGCATGAGATTTCTCAAATTTAAATCAACAGGGTGAAAACCTGAAATAAGAATATTTTCAGCCACATTTAGGTTTCTACTTGGTGGTTAACTTTGCAGTCAAGATGTCATCTGCTGTGGGGAAGTTCTCTGAAGGGGACTAAAAATCAATTCAGTTCACACATTCATTTACACAACTCACTATCTCAAGATGCCATGGAGTCCATGTGGCCCAGAAAACCACAAAAATATTTCCACAGCAGTGGGAACTCTTTGTAATTGGTGCAATATGGAAGCTAATGAAACAATGTGCTCTGTCCACAAAGCAACTGGGAATTTTGGGAGCCAAAAATTCTTCTTAATAACCATTTGGGAAGGTAATTATTCTGCAATTTTGTGTTGTGACATTTCACTCACTGGTGGCAGCAGGTGAGGGGTACTGGGCAGCATTAGAGAGTGTGTGAGGTTCTAGGGTGGCATGTCACAGCAAGGACACCCATTTTCTTTAGTAAGCAGGATTATGGTTTGAAAAGTGTAAAAGAGACATATGCTGTTACTTTAAAAGTTACATCCCAATATATTCCTGTAGCTTACCATGTTATGTTTACTTGCTAAGTGATAACGTACAAAATCTCTTTATTCTCTGTGCTTATCTTATAAGCATTGTATTATGGGTAATTGATAACTTCATTAAAAATATCTTGACTTTCCTGTTCACCTTTCCCTTCTCTGAGCTTTCAAAGGGAATTGAAACTCTCTGTGATGTGTCAGCTGATCTTTTTATCCTGTGTTAAACTAATCTTACTAGAATATGCAACAGAAAGAATTTCCTTCTTTCATGCTCTTCTCCCCCTAGACTGATTGCAGAGAGTTTGCAGACTTAATCACACCTAGAACTTGCTCAAAAGTTAAAGCAGTCTCACACTGTCTGAAGTGACAGTGCAGAGGTGCAGTATTTGGGCTTTTTGTCACCAATGCAGTTTTGTAACCATGGCAAAATTGTAGTTAGTTAAGAAAAAAAGGAATGCATGAGTGGAAATGAAAGTGCAATATCTCAACTACTTGGAATGTTGCAACACAATCTAATGTGGGGAAAGTAATCTCTTAATTTATGTAGAAGAACTACATAGGTTGCTGTAATGTGAACTAAGAACAACTGTCCTGACAGACTTGAGGATAACAGCTAGAGGGAATATTGCCTGGGAATGTCACAACCAGAGTGTTCATGTAAGATGAATTGCAAGTTCTGGAGTTCCTACATGTTCCCAAAAAGTGAGATCCTGTCTGACTGCCAGGGGAAAGAAAATAAGACACATTTATAACCTTTTGGTACCATCTTGTTCATGGAAAGAACAAGAACCGGGAGAATTGAAAAATCTGATTTTTCTTTAGAGGGAATCTTTACATTACAGACACTTTTCATGCCCACCTGATATGGACTGCATGTAACTGGTCATATACTTGGAAATGTCTGCAAGTAATTAATATTTTTTTCTATGCCAAAGCCAAGAAGTTTGTGTAGCCCATTTCTGAGAAGCTGTGCCAGGGCTTACACCTGCCACTGAGAGCTTCATCAGCCCTGGAGTCCAAAGGGAAGAGAAACAGTCAGTAGCCACTGGGCATCCAGGATGGGAGAATACAGACCCTACAAATTGCAGCACATCAGCTGTACTTACCAAAGAAGGTTGCAATGACTGTGGCCCTCATGGTGAGTGAAGCAAAATCTGGATGTGTCACCAAGGAGCACTGAAAAGGAAAAGAGGAGGTCACCAGGCTGCATTTGGAGGTAAGGCAGATGACACTGGAATGGTGGGGGAAGAGGGACTGTGTGCTCTTCTTTAACCTTTCACAGACCTCACATGCTGCATCCTCTTATGACACTTTTTAGAACAACTGATATCCCCAGGAGAGGTGGTATTTGGGCTACCACACTCCCATGGACTAATCTTTACTTGTCTCCAAAATTTGTCTTTTGCTCCAGAAACCAAGATTTCACATACTTATTTCAGAAGCCAAGGTCAGGAGAGGGCAAGGTGGGCATGGACATGTTTTGACACCTATTCAAATCTGTTCTCTGTTCTTCTAAGAAATAATCAAAGAATTGTCCTTTCTGCACATCAAAGCACACCAGGTAATCTCACATAGATAAGGGGAACATAAATCCATTTACTCCTGAAAGACGTTGCATGAAGTATTTTGCAATTGTTCCATCATTTTTGAGCCAAATTACTGGTTTCTTTCATTTTCTGAGTATATGTATGTGTGTACTTATATGTGAGCACCTGAGATTAAGAGGATTCTGTCAGAACATCTGGAAAACATTTTTCTGGGTCTGCATACATGGTTGATGACCCCTGCCATCCCCGAAGCTCTTGGCCAGGCTACAAGAATTCAAACTTATCAGAGATGACCCCTCTCAGCCCCTCCTTAGCATCATCTGCTGCTTTTGCTATTAATTCATGATTGTGGAGGGAATCCTGTGTTGGGGACTCATAGTTAATCACAGTCATTAAAGTACTACATAATGTTTGACAAATAGAGTAAAAAGTCTGAAAGGGTGAATATCAATGATCAAAACAAACTTGATCTTCAGAGAAAACTTATTACATGCTTACAAGTGGAAAGATTTGTTTAAAAAAAAAGAGCTAGCTATGAAGAAAGAAAATAGGAATGTTAATTAAGAATGCTAAAGCTGGTTATGACCAGGGAAAGCAAGATATCTGCTTCCTGGAAAAATGGCAGATTTCATCTGATTTCACATAGCAATTCATATACTCAGAAGCAGGGCTGTGGTAACCCCAGAAAGAAATTTAGAGAACAAGGAAGATAGAGGAGAGTAAGAGAAAAAAAATCTGCATTCTGTCTTCATATAAAATGTTTCCATATTTTTACTTTAATTGCTCTTCTTTTTCAAGCAAGCCACATGCCATGAGTGAGGATGACTAAAACAGTATGCTAGTCTAAACTGAGTTCAGCCGGTTCTGGCTCTTTATAATTTATAACTCTTTTTACATAGAGCAGATCCACCTCTGATTTTTGCTCCTGTGCTACAGTTGGAGAGCTTCAAGTGCCAGGACATACTAACAGTGTCACTTGCTAACAGCACAATGTCTATCCTTCGTGATATCCCTGCAAAAGGCTCCTGCTGGGCTGCTAAAGCTGAAAGTGGCAGAGGTTTCTCAGAAGCCACTGAACCGAATCTGGGGGACATGGAAGTGGCTCAGCACAGTCACTGTGTCTTTCTGAACAACGTGGGCAGTGCAGTGGGGGTGACCCCAGGCTGTACAAGCCATATCAGCAAGAGCAGATAAGTGGTGATGTTCTGCTCTCATGGTTAGCTTCTATTAAAAAGAGTTGCCCATCTTCTGGAACAAAAATCCCTTTTAAGCATTTACTGAAGTTTGTTTCTACTGTGAAGATGTTAAAAGAAATAGCACCAAGATGTTGAAGAGTGCTCAGAGAAACTTAGCTCAGATGCTTTTCTCCTCCCTTTTACATTTCAACCCACTAACACATCAGAGGTATCAAACAATAGCTCCCCTTCAATGAATTCTCACTTTAGGTCAATCACAGAAAAAGAAGAGGCAGAATAAGAGTAGCAATTCATTTGCAGAACTACCATGCACCACTAAAGATTGTACTGACACTGGCTTAAACTTTGCAAAAGACATCTTAATATGAGCATTCCCAAAATTTGCATTGAATAAATTCAGCATTGGCATTTTTATTTAAAGTCAAAGAGATTTGTGTGAATTTTTCCTGGCAGTATTTGGCTTGGTGCTGAGATGTTTTTCATCACCAGCTTAATTACAGTAGAAGAGGTCTGAGATGGTAAAGCATCCATGTAAAATCTGGCTTCATGGGTGGGCTGCTGTGGGGGGAGAGTCCAACAGTGCCTGACTTTTCCTGTCTTACAAAACGTGTAACCACCCTTGTATCACCAGGGCTGCACAAGACTTCCCACTGCTTCCTGAAGGCCCTGCTGTCCCCAGGGCATGGCCAGCCACCCCAGGAGCCACCCCAATCCTCTTGGGTGACAGCACCCTAGGCTTGGCTGCAGTTGCATTCTCTGCCTAGTTGGCTGGTGGGAATTTCTCTTCAAGGCAACAGAAAGTGGGCTTTTGTTCCTAAATTATTATGAATTCACTGTGGAAAGAATCCAGTAAATCTAAAAGGATTTAAGACTTAAAGGCTGTCAGGGGTTCAGCAGAGTTCAGCAGATCCCTTAGCTTTCAATAACAGATGTTTATCAATAAGAAAGATACTGGAAGCATTTAGACAAGGCTGTTAGATTTACTTAACAGCTTTGTTGTCACAGCTAAACAGAAAAACATCTTATTGTGGACTCTGTATCTGCGTTAGTGCTAACATCCTCATGGAAATAAATTATAATAGTAAAGAAAATTGGTTTTGCCACTATAATAATTTCTACTATATTTCTACTAGTTTTTGCCACTATAATAATTTCTGCATATCAGGAGAAATGCACAGACATCCTGTGACACAGCCCTGGTGACAGTGTTCCAGGGGGTGGTCCTGGCCTTCAGACCCTGGGCTGTCACATGGGGAAATGCACGGGAGGATTTACATTGCTGCCTATTAAGTATCAGGCACAGAAGCTCCAGGCTTTCTGTAGTGGGAATCTGTGTGCATTCATTGTTTTTGGGGCCTAGGGTGTCCCCTGATTTAAGCTGTGTGAGATCTCCTGCACTGTGCACTGGCATGGCATCTGCTCTTTCACACTGCTAAAGGGAGCAACAGCTTGGAAAAAACCAGTGGGTTTTTTGTTTCTCTGGGAAGGAAAGGGAAAGCAGGGCTCCAATCCATACTTACAACAGACTTTTTTAGTCTGTGTAGATCCACTGAGATGTTTGGGGATGTTTTATCTGTAGATAAAGAATGACACTTTGCTATTAAATACAAAGTTGTACTTCCTTTGTTGCTTTACAAAATGAATAGATTGCATTAAAACAAACTGAAAAGTTTCTACTTTGTACTAGTCTGGAACATGAGTTTTGCTGAGACTTCTCCTAATCAGATTTCTGTTGAGGCAGTATTTACAGTCTCAGTCAGAACTGGGAAGTAGTGACTACACACTATTAAATCTCCTAAACTGTATGCTGGATCTCTGTTTGTCAGAGTACCTTTTCCCATCTGAATCTTTCAGACTGTTATAACAGAAGTTACCTTTATGCCAGAGAAGCTATTACATATGCATTACATTAGCACATGCTTCAATTCCTGCTAAGTACAAATGTAGTAAGAAGTATCTCCTTCAGTTTCACAGTGCAGCTGATATTTTACCTTTTAAAATAAAAGCCTTATTTGAAAGAACATTGATTACTTTTTCCTGACCACAAACACTTGAAAACTCTTGAATGTTATTGAAGAGACAGAACTAGCAAGCTATTCTTTCTGTGTATAAAGTAGGATTTATTATACTGACCTTTTATTAGCAACTTGACTTTTATAAAGATCTGAGAGAGCTGCTATGTACTACAAACAAACAGATGGTTTAAATGCACATAATTGTCACTGTATGGCAAACTGCAACATTTTCTGGAGGAAGTGCAGATTATAAGTCCTTGATTTTTGGTGTCAGGCACTGCTGTCCGTTCCATGTGCAAGCTGAAATTCTTTGCTAGGGCCATGTGCTTTGCCTCTGCAGGAGTAAGCAGTTTATCTCCTGTAATCTCCTGTGCCACAGAAATTAATTTGTATACTCTCTTTGTACCACAATAGTGTGTGTCATTGTTTCCCTTTTCAAGGGGTTCTAATATCTCAGCAACACTGGCACCATAAAGAAAAATAGAAGTGGATTTGTCTGAAATCTATTTGAGCAAGTAGCGTGGAGTCAGCAGCAGGATCTCTAAGCACTGTGGGTTGAGTTAAATATGTGCCCTTTCTGGGAAAATCAAGTGGGCTTGATGTAGGTGTGAGTAAACTGGTTCTGATAAACAAGAGCTGATCATCATCTTCGAGAGGAAAACATTTTAGATTTCTTTTTTTGTTGTTGTTGTCTCTTTTAAATTTTTTTAATATTATTGTTTAACCCTTTCTTTGTTGCATGCTCATACTCTGTACCCATGGTATTGTACCTTGTTTGGCAGGGCAAGAACTGTTTGTTTTGGAGCACACAAGGTGATAAGAGTAGCACTCGCCACATGTGATTTAGTTTCACCCTCTTTCTTGTCAGAGGGATGAAGTTATGTACCCTCAGTGCACTGCATTGCTCTGAAAGTCTGTACATTAAAAAAAGTATCTAAGTAGCTGTTTTTTGGAAAACTGGAGGTACTGAGTTTTGCTGAGACAGAAAGGTTGAATTAATAGCTATAGCTCATTATGGAGGCTTAGACTGACCTGTAGGTGTACCAGGCCAGGTCACAAAATGCAAGATCCAAGGTGCTGTTTTGTGAGGTGAGCTTGTCTGCATGGGAAGATAGCCTTTACTCTTTGTATGGTGTGAAATAGAATATACGCATCCAGGAATTTAAAAATATCATAGACTTCATCAACTGCTGCTATAAGAAAAGGTGAGTGAACGCTCACCTTTCATATTTCTTCTTTGATGAGGAAAACATGGGTCCAAATTCCCTGAGGCCATGGACAGTTATCCCTGATTAAGGGTTCTCACCACTTGCTTCTTATGACCAGAGTTTGATGGCTGCCACATAATGTTTTACATGGTGCCTGCTGTGCTCTGTGAGATTTCTGACTCTCAAGAGGGCTGTGGGGGCTGCTGGCAG